CGGTTTGCCGACCCGTGCCAGCGGCGTGGCAGCGGATGCGGTGCATTCACTCAGCCAGCCAGCCGGCCTCCCCTGGCTGCTGGCACCAGCACGCCTGGCTGCTGCCGATGTCAGCAGGGGTGGGGAGAGAGGGGGGGTGCTTGCCTGCTCTGCCGCGTGCTGCCCAGGCCCTCACTGCTCTGCTGCCGTGCATATCCCCCGGGGCTGCGGTCCTGGACGTGGCTGGCAGCGAGTTCATTCTGGGGCCCGAGGAGGCGACGCTGGCACAGCTGGGTGTGACGCCCGCCTGGCGGCTGGAGGTGCAGCAGGGTGAGCGTGGGGCAGGAGGGTAGGGCGAGGCGGGGTCGACGCCAGCGCCAGCGCCACGCCGGCAGGATCGCCCAAGACTGCCGCCTGCCTCCACCTCCCAGCCCGCCTCCCCCTCGCCCTGCAGGCCCGCTCGACTGCTCCCTGGCGCTCTCGGTTGTGCTGCCCTCTGGCAAGATTGAGTCGGTGACGACGACAAGCTCGTGCTGGCCAATGCTGCAGCCATGCACCCTGCAGACCTGTTTGCGACGCCATCGATGCCGCCCGGCCTGCTCAGCGCTGGCGGCAGCCCCGCGCAGCCGCAGCCGCAGCCACAGCAGCCAGAGCAAAGCGCCAACGGCGTGGGCCGCCCGCGCGGCAACGCACCCAGCAGCAGAGCCGCGAGCAGGCCGCCAAGTGGGGCGGCGCTTGGTGCAGCCAATGGGGCGGCGCCGCCCGTGGCTGCATTGCCTTGGCGCCAGCCAGCCACGCCAGCAGTCCAGGCGCCCGCTGTGTCGGCAGCGCTGGAAGGCAGAGACGTGGCAGCGGGCGCAGCATGGCAGCAGGAAGGGGCAGGGCGGGCGGCACCTGCACTGCACGGCGTCGCGCAGACGGCTGCTGCACTGGTGGTGCAGCTGAGCAGTCTGGCCACAGGCGCCCTCGCTGCAGCCCAGCAGCAGCAGCAGCAGGAGAAGGGCGGGGCTGCCACTGCGGAAGCCTCCCTGTCTGCTGTGCAGCAGCTGATGGCAGCCGTGGCACCAGGCATGCAGGCCTGCAGCCAGCTGCTGGCAGTGGCCGCGGCAGAGGCGGCTGCAGGACCACCGCCGCGCCCGGTGGCCGAGGCCGGATGCCAGGTGGGCAGCGGCGGCAGCAGCAGCGCGGGTGTGCAGACCGAGGCGCCCCCAGCTGCGCAGGTGCAGACGCTTGGCGGCAGCAGCGCAGCGCTGCTGCTGGAGGCCAGCCGCGGCACCCAGACAGATGCAGGGCTGGGGCCAGGGGTGGGGGATGCATGGACGCAGACCGACCGGCCCGACATGGTGCGCCAGTGCGGCCTGTGCGGGCGCAGCCCACACAACACCCCAGGCGTCAAGCTGCACCAATGCATCTGCCAGGCCATCTACTGTGAGTGCTCTTCTTCTGTGTGTGTGTATGATGGCGATGTTGAGTTGAGGGCAGGATACGCGCCGCCTGCCCTGCCACGCTGCTGCAGCCGATGCCCCGCCACAGAGCCTCGACTCTGCCTGTGTGGCTGGCCCCATTTGCCGTTCAGACTGTGGGCAGCCCTGCCAGGAGCGGGACTGGGCGGTGCACAAGAGGTACTGCACTATCCTGCGCCGTTACTTGCAGCCGTGGTGAATTGCCGGAGCAGCCTTCAAGCCAGCTGGTGACTTAAGTGTGCTCATCACCTCAGCTGTGCTTGAGTACTGCTGCACCGCTGCACCACATCTGTACCGCTTACTGTGAACACCTGTGGCTCTCCACCCCCCATCACTGAGTTGGCAGACTTACACGGGTCCAGCCTCCGAGGCGGACAGGAGAATACAGCAAGGGGAGGAAAGTGGGAAAGCAAGTGGATGAAAATGGGTCGTCGCATGGCTGTCAAACAGAAACAAAGAAAGAATCGCAGCCCTCAGAAACACAGCAATGCAGCAAGGGAGCCGATCATGTGCTCGGAAGGGAAGGAAACAGGTTGAAAACACCGAGAGGTGAGGGACGGGACACAAAATAGGGTGACAGTGGGCGAGGCGCGCCGCCGGCAGCACCTCGTGGCCTGGCCAGTCCGCCAGCAACGTCACAGCCATGCCGCCAAGCAGCTGCCGGGTGGGGTGGCAGTAGCTGGTGAGTGTGCTGCCTTGCGGCTCACTTGGGGCGGGGGCTTGGAGGCCTGGGGCGCGGAGGGCGGGGGCTTGGGGGCCTGGGGCGCGGAGGGCGGGGGCGTGGTGGTTTTGGAGAGGGCGGCCTGGGTCGCGGCGGGGGCTTTGGAGAGGGCGGCCTGGGCGGTTTCGGCCTTGGCGGCGGGCGCGGCGATGGCGGCTTCTTCTGCGTTGGCGGGGGTGGCGACGAGGATGGGTCAGGCCCGCTGCCTACGAGTGGTTGAGGTGGCTGAGGCGGAGGAGGCGGGGATGGGTCGGGTGGAGGTGGGGGTTTCCCAAATCGCGGCCGGGGAGGGCGCGGGGAAGGTGGCGGCAGAGGTGGTTCGGGAGGGGAGGGGCTGGGCGGCTGTGGCGAGGGCGGGAGTGGCGAGGGCGGCGGCGGCGGGCTGGGCGGCGGCGGGCTGGGGGGCACCGGAGAGGGTGGTGGGCGGGGGCGGGGCTTGGGTGGAGGACGCGGCTTGGGGGAGGGCGGTGCCGGGGGCGACGGAGGCGATGGGGGTGCGGGTGGGGGCGCATTCAGGCCGCGGTATCCAGATGTCATGCCATATCGTGGGTAGGAGGATTGCAGCCTGGCGGCAGAGTCCACCATCTGGCAGTTGCCCACGCAGAAGCCGGAAGGGCAGAAGGGCAGGCAGCCGGGGGTGGTGCATGTCTGGTTGATCCTGCATCGCAGGCAAGGCCAGGCACCCAGGCGATCGGGCGACAGCCTGGTGCGGCGGAGGAGGCATGGCTGCAGGCAAGACGCAACGCCGCCGCTCCGCGTGCAGCGGCCCGGCTCCGTGCTAGAAGGGCATGGCCCGCGTGCCCTCCCAGCTTCGCTGCGCAGCAGCTGGACCCTCACTCGTATTTCTCAAAGGTGCCGGCCGATGAGATGTAGTACTGGCACCAGTCGTACGCGGCACACCTGCAGGCAGGCAAGCAAGCAAAGAGGGGGCCAAGCAGCAGCGCGGCAGGGTGAGCATGAGGCTGCCAAGCTGCTGCCCGGGCAAGCGCCGCCAGCCAGCACACAGCACGCAGCCGGCGCCAGCAACCGCGCCTGCCGCGAGGCCGCACGGTCAGCGCAGCAAGGCAGGAAAGGAGCACAGGGGCCCAGGGGCCAGACGGCGGGAGCGGCGCCGAGCCAGCCAGGCGGCCGGCGCAAGCCGCGCGGCGCGCAGCAGCTGGCGGCGGCCACGCACTTGGCCTTGCAGGCGTCCGCGCCGGCAAAGTCGAACTCTGGGTCGTCGTCAAACACGGTGCTCTCGATGGTCCAGCGGGACTCTGAGGTGATGACGATGTCGAAAAAGATGCCCGGCTTGGTGACGCAGCACGGGGCTGCAGGAAGGGGCGCACACGCATGCGGGGTGGGTAGGTGGTGGGCCACGATCGCTCGCAGACAAAGAAAGGAAACAAGCAGCGCGGCGGCGGGGTCCCCCCCCAGCCCAGCAGCCAGGAGCGGCGCTGAGCGTCTGAGCGGCGGGGCAGGCGCGCCTCACCACACCCCACCACACCCCACCACACCCCAGCGG